TTATTATTTATAAGTTTATTATTATTATTTATAAAAGTGATATATTCCTGCTAAAATCGCTCTCTCAAATGTCAGTTTGAGACTTTCTAGGCTCTGGATTTTTATTCTCTTCTTATTTCTATGAAACATCATGATGTTTCAATAAGAAAACTTCCTATAAAGGACTTAAAGTAACTTTTCATTTTAAAGCAGGCTGTAATTGAGATAAATATACATACAAGTTGGCTTCCAGAAGACATGAAGGCAGTGGCAGGAGTAAGGAGCATGGGAGGAAAAATACTTTTAACACTGTTTTTCCTTAACTGGGTCTGTGGTATAGTTCTGGCTTCTTGGGCACTGACAAATGGTGAGCCTTTCAGAGTGACATTTATAGGCACTGAAACCTGGTTGACTCTTTAGACCCTGTATGTACTGGTCTGGATTTGCCAAACTGTGGCATAGATAATTATGTTAACATTTCCATAAATCATTTGTTCATCCTTTCTGAATTACTTACATGCTTATGCCCATATTTCAAGTGGCTTCTAACAATAAAACAATCTGTTTCTCTAGCAATGCTTTTCATTTCAGGCAAGCATTGGTGCCATGGTATCCTCTAAACTGGAGATTAGATGGTTTATGCTGGTGAAAACATTATTATTGCTAGTTGTCATACACCACAGGTAAAGAGAAATAGGTGACCATATTTTGAAATGAGTACAGAAGTATGTGGTATAATTGCAATGATTCAAGTAACAGTATAATGCTAAAGAGTTCTATTGTGCTGAAATGTGTGCACAGCAGCTCAATTGTATTATGCAGGCCAGGTCACTGCACGGGAACAAAATGAGTGTGAAGAGCTCCTTCATCTCTAATCATCTGCACACAAAAAGTGCACCTTTTATTCCTCCCCCCAACTTGATATAAAGGTTAGATGGACTCTGTACTCGTGAACAGAAGTGTTGTATGTAGACAACAGATGCAGCGGTTCCTCTTCAAATTCCGAGGTTAGTAATGGATGTAGAGAGGGGGTTTCATATGTATATGCTGTGATATTTGCTCCAGTTAATGGACTATATTTGAGTACTTACTAGGCTAAGTTCAAACAAAATAAAATCAAATTTCCATTTAATGAAGAGCCTCACATTCAGCATAGTATTCAGTCAAAAAAATTACTAAAAATTAGAGCATGTTTCTAGCACAATTAACATCATTTGCACTCACAATAAAATATTCAATAACTGGCCATTTTGCCTGTTGAGGAGGTGAATAAAAGCATGCTATTAATCATTTAGTCTTCATTTGTTTGCCATTTTATTTTAAGTAGACAATTAAATTGAAACTGCGCATTATTATTACTTCAGGTTTAATTTAATCCGTTCAAACTTGAGAATTATTCCCAATTTATTCAGCGTTAAACCTTTTATGCATATGACAGCACACTAAATTGTATTTCATGTACCAAGTGAGCAGTTTCTAAACAATGTTTAAAGGTGACAATAACCCTGGAAAAGTTCATTTTAGATTTACACAGCTAGAAGGACAAAAATGCACTTGTGCAACCCACCAATTTCTGCCTAACAGGAAGCAGCTTGGTTTGCTCAGCACAGGTCTTTCTACATGGAAAGAAAAGAGGCTGGTACTGGTTCTTGATGTCTCTATTGGCAAAGCCTGCCAAAGCCTGCTGGGTGTTCTGGAAGGCAGCAGGGAGTCTCTCATTTGTTACTCTAAGTTAATAACAAGGACCTTATACAGCAAGTGCATCAGTTATTGCAATAAAAATCTACCTTAACCTATTAGAGGTAGCAAAGCTAATAGAGTATAAACAGCTTATGAAAAAGAAAACAAAGCAACACAATTATAGCTGAAAAATTTAACTTTATGCCTTCTTTGACACGTAAGCTATCATCAAGAGTGTGTGACAGCAAAACCACACTTTCTTCTTAAATTAGGAAGAGGGTTTCTTTTCATCTGCTGCATTTAAATATTCCTAAATCATCTGTCCCACCAGACACTTACATGGCACAGTGTGGGATTGAGTGTGACACTGCCAGAGTGTGTGGCAGTGATTTGTGAGGAAATGCACACTAATCAGTTTCAGTGCATACAGTGGGATGCGCACGGATGAGACCCATCCCTTCAAAGCTATAGAGTGAGTTTCACTTTTGTACACGGCAACTGCTAAGATATGGAAATGCAGAATATGATTTCTAATCTTCCAGGGTGTTTATCACACGAGTTTACCCTCCGGAGGCCTTTTACACCCAGATGGACACCTGTATCCACTGCTCCCATCATCGATCAGAGATGGGAGGTGGCACACACCCTGCAGCCTGAAGAGGAAAGCCCAGCACCGGGAGAAGAAAGCCCAGCACCAGCAAGGAACCTTCCGTTTGAACTGCCTCTCCGTGAGCAGCCTCCATAGCCTGCCCTGGGCCCCTAACCCTGATGCCAGGAGCCTCTCTCCGGCTTGAAGGCAGGTCCGCAGCCCCCCAGTTCCCTCACCCCAGTCCCCCCCTTCCCGCTCCCCCATCCCATTACCCTTACAGGTCTCAGCTCTGCCCCAGGGTCTGGTCCCTAAGCCCGGCCCGTTGCCTGCCGCTCCGTCGCGTCTCGCCGTTGCCATGGCCACACTGGAGGACGCGCAGCATCCACCAAGAGCGCAGGGAGTGGGGGGAGCTACAGGACGAAGCCACTTTAAAGTGAAACGGGATATATTATATTATATGTAATAGCAGCCACTTCACAGGTATGTGTTTAATTCGGTGTTCAAAACCGGTGTTCAGCACCCTGCTTCCAGTGAGGAATAATCACCTCTGGTGGGAAAAATAAACACAGGTCTCTGCTGTAATGTGAATTTCCTTTATTTGAGGAGTCCAGTTTTATCTTTCCCACATAGAAAAGGTGATGGTGTGGAGGAGCTGTGCAGATGTAAAGTCTCATCGATTCTCCTAGATTGCCTGCTGGCAGGCAAGTGACTTTGTCCCTGGTTTTGGGGAGTCCCATGTTGTAATATCATGCATCATCTCCATGTTTGCCAACCCAAGTTTGAAGACTTCCATAGTCTCAGTGACATGCCTGGAAGTTTAGGTGATGTGGGACTACAAGTGTAGCACCCAGATGTTCTGGTTTCAGAGCCCCTTGAAGACTGGTGCTGATGCAGTCTCGCACCACACAGAGTGATGCTATCATTGTACAAGTGAGAAACCAAAGCAGGAGTCCTAGCATGGGGGAAGAACTTTGGGGTTTTTAACTCTTTGGACATTAGGATGTTTTTCTCCTTGGTTAAATACAGCTGGATCTCCAGGTCTGGGGTAAGAATGAGATAATAAAAGTCCCAGTAGGTTTGCAGCTCCCAGGGTTTCCTGCTTAGTCCCATGCTTGCAGAATTACATGAATATCTTTATATCCTGCAGTCCTTGGGAATACCTGCATATTCCTTTTCCAGGACCTGCATTGCTGATAGGACCTGAGATGGGATTGATGAGCTCTGTTTCTGGCAGCGGTTAATTAAATCCTTTGAGGACTACAGGTAAATCAGTGTCTTCATTGCTAATAGGTTTCTAGGACCACCGCTCCCATCTACCTGCCCCACTGTTTAAAGGAAAACAGTCCCAATTGGCTTTTGGGTTGAGGGTAGCTGTTCGTAGTTCTGCTCCTTGAGATCATATTGATACTTGAATGCTGTAATATAAAGATGAGGAAACAGGGGTGTTTCTGCACCTTGTACAGATTTGCCATTGCTATACATCTGTTTCCTTTCCACATCCAAACAGTTTCTCACTTATTGCAATGGTTTTGTCTCTGGGATTCTTCTGCATTTTTTCCACATATCCTTCTGTTACATATTGCATGTTGGACTTCTGATTGACACCTGAAAGAGGAACACACATTTATTACTGATTTTGCACAGGGGTGGTGGTGTAACTGCTTGAAATACGTATGAATAGAACAATAAAAGATGACATGCCTTTCTAGACATTGTTAGGGCATCCATCACAGTGAAGACTGAGAAGCATGAGGTGATCTACTGCAGGTTACACAATACTTAAGGCACTACTTTGTAATAGGTTTAAATGTTTTGTATGTATATTTTTACATGTATTCAGTAGCAACACTCTAACAGGAATTAGTTTATGTTGGTTAAAGCTGTTTACCGTGTCCATTCTTCTCATGGCCTGGACTGTCTTCATTAGATTTGGATCTATAACTCTCCAGAGTCTGGTCTGAAACATCATTTTCTGTGCAGAAAACAAGTGTAATTAAGACAGGGAAATTTTTTTCCATGACTATTCTTCACTGTCTGCATTGAGCATAAAGAATCTGAGAGACTAGTTATAAAATGGGGGATCAATCATGTTGACCATCTAAGAAACATACTAAAGACAGCAATTTCACTGTTTCTTTTTGTGGCACTTCGTGTCGGTTGCAGGGACTCTTCAACACTTGTTCGCAAACAAGTCATGGCCACTGTCTATGGGAGAAGGACATTTAATCAGTGGCTGGAGGACAGGCTCTTCCTCTCTCCAGCCCCTCTGAATAAAGCAGCATGGCTTGAACAGAGTCATCACCCACCTCTCTTCCACTCTCCATGAGCTTTCTTCAGCTTCCTCATAAAAAGCAGGACAATGAGGAGCAGCACGAAAATCAGAGCAGCCACTAAGATGGGCAGCAAGAGATTTTTCTCCTTCTTTCCCATGCCTTCAAATTTCACATCTTTGTCTGTAAGAGAGGCAGGTATTCATGTTGCTAAATAGTTTCCTGTGAGTCCCTAGAAATTAAGACAAGAATGATATATCCTGGACCAGGCCAGATGAACGTGGTGCAAGAGCAGAAGTCACCTTATTGGACTTAAGTTTTAGGATGTGAGGTCAAATTATTTCTTCTTGTATGAACAAGAAAACATAATTGAAGTAAGTGGATTCATGCTCTACATTTTTTCTAGTTGATAAAAATGGTTGCTTTTCTGTAGTCTCTCCCCAGGATTACCCTAGTGTATTGACAAAAGGTTTGGAGGTGGATACGTGGTCAGAGAGAATCAGCTTGGTGTAGGACAGCTTGTTGCATGTTTGGAAGTTGTCTTTAACAAGTTCGTACCAAAGGTGATGATGGAAATCACAGTTACATTTCCACTTGGTAGAGGGGCTTCTGTTCTGGCAGCTTCCTCTTCTGTGATGTTGCCACTGAATGCTGTTTCACTCTCTGGGGGAATAGAAAGGAAACATTATTTCCCTGAAGGGCAAAGGGATGCTTAAGAAATACATATTTCCCAGCAGCTTTGAAGTCCAGGGCACCTGGTACTGCATCAGAAAGGGACTTTTAGACTCTCTGTCTCAAAGTCCTGTGCTCACTTCCTTACTGCTGTATTCTGTTTTCATCTGAGGATGAACAGAAAATCCTCAGAGTCTCTTACACATTGCTGAACTCAGTGGTTTCTGTTTACAGCCAAATTAAAACAAAGCTGAGCTCTGACTCTTTGGTCATCTAGGGGATTTCCCTGCCCATCAGTTTGTTCTCTTGCTTGCAAAACCAGAAATGAGCATGTATCATTTGTCTTAAAGTAGATTTAAGTTGCTTTTTGGTATTCATATCCCTGACTACTCTTTTACTGACTTCATAGCTCACAGTGGTGAGGTCACCCCACCCTTTGCCACCACCACCTATGTCTGATGATGTGAAGCCATACCACTGGGGACATGGTAACTCGATGAACCAGTCCATTCTTCCTTTCCTGCTGCAGCTGGTGTAACTTCAGACCCTGCACAAACACAGAGGTGAGCTCTGACTTCCTTACACACACAGACAATACATCCTTGTGTAATTAAACTTGATTTGTAAAACTAACATGTTAATGTGTGCTGTGTCTACCAATACTTTACATTCATAAGAGACTTTTTTCCTTCTCAGGACCTGCTGAAAGTCCTGTTAAAACATCCAGGTTCACTTTCTAAGTATGTTTATCAACATACATATGAATTGTTTATCAGATTGTAGCCATTCTCTAGTGCTTGTAATCACCGATGTAGCGCTTTCAAACAAATACAAACAAAGTGTTCTTGTATTCTAACGCAACCAATTGGTTTTCTTTTCAGGGCCTGTCATGCGAATTGTCCACCTTGGTGGGTTTTGGCCAAGCAATTTGGGCAGTGGTGCTCTTAATTCTTCAGCTGGAAACTCCACATTTCATTAACCGCACCCTGAACCGTTGTTGCACAGTGCCATCTAGTGCAGCCGTGCAGAGAAATCCCAGCCTAGCCTCACACCGTGCTGCAATAGCGGCCCGTTTGGCCACTGCTGCTGTTCTGCATCTAGCAACAGGGACTTTGCTTTCATGGCTGTAAAACTGAGGTCTCCTCGCACAAGCGAGAAATGCTGTGGTTTATGTTGTGTACTTGTTTGTAACGTGGAATGTAATGCTGTTCTCAGCAGCATGTATGTCCTTGTTTGGTAACCTGATGTAACTGAGACCAAACTTACAAGTAGATGTGACATCTGGTTGGAGGGTTTTCTGGGTCGGTGTTGATGCTGAGCTGGGAACTAGCAGATCCTCTGGTACTGCAGAAGGGATGGTTGGTTGTTTGGATCCTAAAGGAACTTCCCCAAACACAAGACAAATATCAGAAGACACACTTTGCCATTGAATTGACGCTTGAAACCATGACAAATTGATGCTTAAACCACGGCAAAAATGAAACCTGCACTGTATGCCCCATGCTCTGGACTGTTTGGGTTCTCCATCTGATCAGTGTTTAGATTTACAGTCCTCCCCTTCCACCTTCAGCTTCCCTGTCCTCTGAATATATATAAGACCATGAAATAAAGGAAAACCTGAAACAGTGGGTAGTTTGGTGCAGAGGCTGTGCTGCTGTTCAGATCTGACACTGCTGCAGTCAATGGGCGAAGAACCAGAGGTTCTGAAGGCTGTGCAAAATGTCCCTCTCTACTGATGGCAGCTGGTGTTTATCTGACCTGTGCATGAATTAAAGAGGCCAAGCAGCTAATTCCTACCTGTAGCTTGCTCGTTTTCAGAGACACGTGTAACCCCCTCTAGTGTAGATGGTGCCAGATTTGGTTTTGCAACTGAAAAAACCCAACAACAATACAACTTTCAGAGCACTTTATAAGCACTTGTTGAACGAAGCAATCTAAGGAAGAACAAAGTAAGAATAGTAAGGTCTATCCTAAGGATGAGTAAACAGGCAGAAGGTAAACTCTATTCTGAGAATTATTAGACAAGCCGCTTCAGTTACTGATCAGTTACTGTTAATTTACGGTATTTACCCTGTGTGAGCTTTCCAGATGGATGTGTCTAATACACAGAAGACACAGCTCACAGCTATTTGAGAACATAAACTTTGAATTATCTTTAAAGCTTTAGGACAAACTTCACCTGAATTCTAGCAGGAGCACTGGGGAACTGACCTGCCTGTGCTGCTGTGGCCTTAGGCTTAATGAATTTTAAGGTAGTTAAAGCCCTCAGATCTTAGTTTGGAATTCTTCTTTTGCCCCAGGTAGCCCTCTCATTTAAAAGCAGATTCCACAGACTATGGGCTTCAGCTTTGCATGTGCATCTGCACAACTTCCACCACCTCAGAGTGGTAAAATGGGATAGGGACTGCTGAAGGAGCCTGCAGTACCTGTCCTAACAAGGTCGTCAAACTGGAAAGATGCCATAAGCTTCTCTTTTCCTAGTGCTTGGTGGTGAACGATGCAGCTGGCAGTTGAATTGGGTCCATAGGCGAGGACTGTCAGCGTGCTGGTTGTGGTCCATTTCTTCCCATCAGCTTCTAACTTGTGCTTAGTGTCACCTATACACCCATCAGAAGAAAACATTTAAGTGCTTTCTAGTCAAGATCAATCTAATGAAAAACCTTCCAGGAGCAATCTGCATTACTTTACTGTGCTAAAGCAGCACCTGATTACTGTGCACAAGTGGTTCATTGTGTAAATGGATTACATGGGAGCCCAAAGGCAGCAAGGTCATGTTTTCTTCCTCATCACTGTTTAAGTGCAGACCTCACTGCACCTCCTGCGCTCAACCCAAAGCTTCTGCTAGGTTTCATCTCTAACATGGGGAAATTCACCTGCAGTGCAATGCCCAGACACCAAACACCAACTTTCAGCCCTTCCTGAATGGAATAAATTGCTCTGCTGTGTGCCACAGCCATGCAAAGTCCAAGGGAAGCCTCAGAGCAAGGAATCTCGTGTTTTCCAGCACAATTGAGATGTAGGAAAGTTCTTTTTCTGCTATTGGATATCCAAAAGCATTGAATTTGTCTCTTAAGAGCTGTGTGTTTGTTACCCCAAACATAAAAAGCAGTTGTGCAATATCTGTGCATATTGATCAACACAAAGATTAATTGCCTGAAAGAAGTAATTTCTACTGTCTGTTCATGATGTAGAGGTTCTCTGGAAGCAAGCTGATGCTTTCTCTTGATCTGTTACCCTTGGTAATACCCTAACTTGTTTCCAAATTAGCCTTTACAGATAACTTGCTATATCACATAGCCCAGTATTTCTCAACCCCACATAAAAGCTCAAAAGGATTCAAAGTGGTTTTGCTAGGAAGGCAATGATCTTTGCCAGCAACAGCTCAGTAATTACAGCTGGGCTGCCCCTGCTGAGCCCTGGTGGAACTGAGAAGCTGCCAGTAATTAAGGTGTATTAGCTATCTTGTGATTACTATAAATATTTGCAGTAAGTGATTAAGGCTTGGAATGGAAGAGAGGTAGGAGGTAAGAGGAATAAAGGAGAGTTCCTCAAAGGGAAGATGCACACAGGAAGTTTGAGGAACAGTGATTTAGGATGGGTAGTTCCCACTGGTATGGTTTGCTGTAACAGCTGACTGGCTTAGTGCTACAAAGGCAAGGAGGAGATAAAGGTAAGTGTAGGTTTTTGTTAATATAAGTGGAGAAAAGCATGGTTGGTTTTATGTGTTGTGTCTGAGTTGTGATCTTACAAATAATGTACTTTATCAGGCCAGAACTGAGGTGGGTTCAAGCTTAAGGAAACACCTGTTTTTAGAAGAACACTGGCAAAAATGTATGTAAAAACCTTAGATGTGACATGTTGCTTCCCTGAGCTCTTCATTGCTTTGTAGCTGGTATTCCCCCAAGCCCTTGGTGTCACACAGCCCAGCAATTCCCCAAAAAAGTTGCTCCAGAGCAACATTTCCCCTGCAGTCACAGCTAGCTTTCTGCCTTGGCCTTCATGTGGCTCGCTCACCAGCTACAGTGCTTCCCCTTAGTGCAGTTCCTTTAAGCATAGGGCATTATGTGGTTGCATTAATGCCTGTGGATCTGGCAACCTGGATTTGTTCTTTAGCCTTGATTTCTAGCTATGTTCAGGCCAGCACACTTCTCTGCTGTTTTCTAGAGCTCTTAGTTAAGCCATCTGGGGAATGTGGGGGGGAGATTACAGGTTAAGCTTTAAAATGTGTTGCTTGATGATGCAAAATACAAATAAGAGCTGGTTAATATGTGAAAGGAAAGAGTTTGCATCTACGGGTATTTTCATCATGCTTTGATACAGATATGCATTTCCTCTCTGCTGAAGTTGTAGCTAATAAGGTACTTACTACTAGAACATGGCCTTCAGAGCAGCTGTTTACATAGCACATGAGTTAATTTGAGCTATGTGGTGGATTTGGTCCTCCTCATGTGTCCACCCAGATATACGCAGACCTCTCACTGGGGCAGTGTCTCAGGGTGCTGTGGGCTCTGTTTCCTGAGCTCTCTTCCTGCTTCTGCTACTGGCTTTGAGCAGATTAACATCAGAGAGGTTGATGGTGTGTGTGTGAGCTGCTCTGCAAAGCTGAGGGAAATCTGTCAACTGCCTACAACATGGAAATAGTTATAATGGCTTTGTTAACCGAGTTTATATTGGGCCTTTGGAAATTGTGCCTGCAGAGTTTGGGTTTCACTTTATTTCACTGGAATATGACTCAAGGGGTTTTGGTTCCAAATGTTACTGTTCTGCACTGAGTGTGAGCAAAGCACATGAGCCCTCTCCCTTGCATAAACACTGCAATTTAGTGCTGGCTTTGCTCCCAACCTGCACCACAGGGGCCAGGTTGTACTGAATAAGTGGAGTGATGGTCCCAGAAGGTGTTTTACCCTCCAGTATTCTTAAACATGCCCAAGACTGGTAAGAAGAAATTGTTAGTTATTAATCCCTCATCCTTTAGCACTTACCAGGGAGCTCCATCCCGTTGTCTAACAGCCAGGTAATCCGGGCCTGTGGCTTACATCCTTGGGTATAGCAAGACAGTGTAATGCTTCTTTCTGTGTCTCTGGATACTTGCATTACTGGATTAGAAGGAGCAGCTGCAGCAGTAAGATTTAGAATCGGTTATAGTGCATCTTTCTACTGGGTTTTATGAATGGCTGTATACGTAGCATTGTTTGGGGGGGACTGAGCTAAGACCAGGATTATGTTGTGTTAAGCACCATGAAATTGCATGCAGAAAAGCAGGTCTGGAGTTGAGGAGCTGGGACAAAGTGGGTGGAAGAACTTACCTAATACCTTAACAGTCTTGTTCTTGTTTTTGAAGGGGATGCCATAGTAGAAGCATTTATATACACCTTCATCATGCACTGTTATGTTAGACAGTTGAATGGATAATTCATCCTTTGAATAATGGATAAGCTTGTACCTCTGATCTCTTAAAGCTGTAAGGAAAATAAAAGCCAGCATGCTACGTGTGAGGTACAGAAGTGGAAGACAGATAATCAAAGCAGTAATGAATGAGGATCGCTTTCTTTTTGGCATTGTTTAAACCCATCAGCATTTGACATAAGAGAGTAGTTACAGCACAAAGCATTCCTTGCTGGTGCTGCACTTTATACAGAGGCAGCAGGAACCTGAAGAAAGGAAGGTGCATGATGCCAGCCAGGAAAATTACATTCTCTTTCTCAGGTCTTAATCCTGTGTTCTTATGTTTTACGGCAATTTGGGTTCTTTACATGTCTAGATGGATAAATATAAGCAAACATTGTGGGGTGAGAATGTGATGTGTGGTCAGAAAAGTAGTATAACCTTTAAATATAGAGCATGAACTGAGGACCTTTCCCTTCCTCATCCCCTAAGCCTTTATCTGGCCTTGAAAAAATGACTTCCCTTTTTGGGTGTGATGTATAAATGAACACTGTGGTCAGCACACACGTCTTTATTAACTGCTTATTAATTGGCTGCTTTGCTTCCCCTGTATTTGTCTAATTACCTTGATTTTAACCAGACTGTTTCCTAGGACATCTGTACCCTGCTGTACAATCTCCTTTCTCTCGCTCAACTACTGGTCCTTGCTTCATGCATGACCCATGGGAGCCCTCAGGCAGCAAATCACGTGGACTTTTCCCACAGCTGCAGCACAGAAAGTGTAACTTTCTGCCCTTAAATTGACCTGAAACTGGGATGTGCACCAATCATTAGGGAGAAAAAGACCTCAAAAGCTCTCTTTTTTATTCTAAAGCTAGGGTCTTGAGAAAATATGGAGCTGGGAGAAAATCCCAGCAGTACCATAATATATGGAAGTAATTAAATAGGAAAGGAATTAGAAATCACTGTGATGTAAGACTTGTAGGCAGCTTGTAGTATACTTAACTACAATGAGACTAGAGGGAACTGATTCGTGAAGAGGTTTATTGGAGAAGCAATGTGACCAGCATTCACAGTGGTAATTCAGAATGAAAATGTCTATGCGCAGTGAAAAGTTTGGCTTCTCTCTAAATGGAGACTGATTTCTTCTGTATTGCAAAAGGAAAATATTCAGTGTACCTGACTTATCAAATGGTTTGCAAACACTAGTCCTTGTGGATGTTATATCATGTGTCTAATTGGACCAACAGGAAGAGAGATGCAGGCAGAGACATGAGGTGTAGGGAGTGGAAGGGAACACAGTAATTTTAACTTTGGCTTTGTCAGTGCATTTTAGAAATCACTGCTTGTTTCCTAAACATTTCCTCTAGATGCACTATATCCAATTCCCTGATGAGCAGGAGAGTACCCAGGGCTTTCAGGCATGTCCATTCCTGTCTCTCTTGTAAGGTAAAAGTGGGGTTTTGTGCTAATGCCGTGGTGCAGGTGGTAACTACAGTTCCTTACTAAAAGCTCTAGTGCCAGAGCACTCCTGTGGGGGTTTCCATTTCATCAGCTTCCTGCCAGAAAGGGGCTGAATGTAAAACCATCTCAAGCGTTGGGTAGCAGGTGAGTCAGACTGGCCACGGGTAGGAGCTGGAAAGCCCTACAAGCGACCTTCCAGCCCCATGCGGAAAGTGTTGCACTTGGTTTTCATACTTACCCCGCTGGGTGTTGAGAAAAATGGCAAACCCACGAGGGTTTAACCACTGCCGGGCAGAACCATCATCACTGCTGAGGGTGCAGCGGAGGTTCAGGTCCTCTCCTTCCTTTAGAGTTATGGTTTCACCTCCACCTCCTGGAAAATCCCCTGCCAGAGATTGAGGGGGGAGGGGTGGAGAGAGAAAACAAGTATTGAAACGTGACATGAAGTAAAGGAACAGTTTCACACACAGTATTATGTCAACTTTTCTTTTTCCAAGGGTGTAAAGGTTTTTCTTGCCAAGATCATTGTACTGATATAAATAAATCACAGTCGTTAGGTAGGTCATCACAGCCACTGGGTAAGGCTTGTGCTAGCACAACCACGTTTAGTTACTAGACGTTATTCCACATGAGTCAATGAAGAATGGATAGCAGACCCATTTAATGCATGTTCTCCATGTATGTTAACACAAGCATTATCACTCATTATTCCATGCTCTATTCTGGAGCTGTTGAACCTGATTTGCCAGCATGTGCAACTGAGCAGTGATGATCTAGTGTGAGGTGTCCCTGCCCGTGACAGGGGGATTGGAACTAGATGATCTTAAGGTCCTTTCCAACCCAACCCATTCTATGATCAGCACCTCTGAAAAATGAGGCTTTTATTATTCAGAAATTGTAATGGTGCAACTGCTTTGAGCTGGTTTTGAAACTTTCTGAACACAGTATCGACAAACCTGGCCTGGCATAGGTTACTAACATGAAATGTCATTCTTTCTCCTCCCAGTTCATTTTACAGATGGGCAGTAAAGCGGGATTTTTCTCTCTCAACATTCCAAGACACATAATACACTTCATGAAAATATTTGACATCGAATAAATTGCTTTCTCCAGGAAAAAAACCTGCCCTGGAGAAATGGCTAAGAGCAGTGCCTGGGTCAGAGATAAGTAAATGGGTAGTAAGAGGGTTTTATTTTTCATTCCTGTTTTGTGTGTTTTGGTTTTATTTTCCAGTTAGCTGTCTGCTGCAAGTTCCTATTGCATACATGAGCATTGCAGTTTGGGGAAGTGAATATTTCTGGGCTTCAGAAAAGCTTTTAATGTTCTTAAAGCCATTTTAAAATATACCAGAAATTAAGCTTATCATAGGGTATTCTTGCTGGACCCAATCCTTTATCACTAAAATCAGAGGGAGGACTTGTCTCACTATAAGACAGTATTTTCCCATAGGGATCTGTTGCTATGCTCACCCTTGAGCTGAGCATGCTTCCTGAGCCAGGAACTTTGAGTGGCTGTAACCGATCTACCATCACATATGGCACATCAGTGGCTTTGGCTTCTATTCCTTAATTCCGCCTCTGTTTCCTAGGGTTAGTGTCTCAGCTTGCTTCTCAGGGCCTGTCTGTCCTGTGTGGGGGTCAGTTGCAGAGGAGCAGTAGAAAAGGAAGAGCTCCTTGAATGGATTCCATAAGCGAAGGCCTGTGTTAAGAGGTGCATGTTGCTAAGGTAGCAGAGGGCCTTCTCTGTGGTTTTCCACAGGGCCCTTCTGTAGTGATGGTTTCCTGTCACTAACAGCAGTGTGGGGTCTTTCAAGTCACACCTTCTGAGGTGAGAGCAGCAAGACAGAACAAGAAAAGGTGGGGGTGTTTCTTGCCTTTCTAAAGCAGAGAAAAGCAGCCCCCAGAATATAGCATACGTCTAATTTCCATGAGACCATGGCTTCATCCAGACCATGACTCACAGGTCAAATCCCTTTATGTAGGGGACAGTTTGATGTGTCTTCAAGCCACTGTAACCCACCACAGTACAGTCACTAGGGTATGGGAGATGCAACCATGCCAGAGACAGAGGACAGTGGTTCTTGCGCTGTGTGGATCCCTGCCTACATGGGAAAAAATAGCCTGGCATCAAGTAAAGTGATATATCCACCTTTTGGCAAGAAAGGGCA